CACACACACACACACACACACACACACACACACACACACACACACACACACACACACATACACACACACACACACACACACAACACACACACACATGCCAGAAGTATCGTGTGGTTCTTTTTCGAATCCCTGAGTGGGCATTTTTTCTGGCTTCTCGGACGGAAATTGTTTCGGGCTGCATGTGGTATGGCTCGGCCGGCCACGGTCCACCTACTAGTAGGACGAACCAGTTCCATGGACCCCATCTAGTGGGGACCGCTTTTTGCATAGCGATACATAGTTAGTAGACAGATATAGATCGATATCAGATTGTCAGCAGTTTTTCCTGGACACGAACAAGCACATACTATCTTCAAAGAAGAGCTCCGTTGGACGAACAGGCAGTTCACAATGACTAGCACAGTTTGAACTCACTTGTTTATTGGCAAACACAACTACCACCGCATCCCGCAACTCCTCCTCCTGCATGAAGATGCGCATTCATTGCAGCATAACAAAAAACATTCCAATCCACCAGACAGAGCACCGTATCAGAAATATACCTTAGTGACGGCCACACACAACAAACACAACTCCACACAGCAAAACTTAGTGCGTTGCAAGTTATCCCCAACCACACCACCAGAGCGTCGACCCCTACCTTCCTCTTCCTCGTCTCGTTCAAGCATACGCAAGCACACAAGACGAAACCAGACACAGCACATTTCAAGATGCAACAGAACACTCACATGACTGCAGAGCAGTGTTGCATTCTGTGTACTTAGGTGAGTAGGGCATAGGGTTTTCCATACAGCCGTATGTAGACGGTTATGTGAACAGTGACTACATTCGTACGTAGACAGTTTTGCGTACTGCCGTCTGTTGGCAGTTCTGCGGACGGCTGCACATACGCATTTTGCATACAGCCGTACGTAGACAGGGGTGATTTCAAGCATCAGGAAAATGACGAGGATTCGAGGAACACAAAGATCTGCAGGACGGCAACAGGCACAAATCGATCGATAAGATCAATAACGGGGGAGAACGTGAGGATGACAACACCGTACATACAAGCAGACGGTTGAACAACAAGAAAAAATAAGGAACATCTTCGATAGGAAAAAAGAGAAAAAAAATTGTGACATCAAATCCTCATCAGGTCCAGTCCAAACTTCTCACTGATCCTCGTCATGCCTCTCCTTTCCATCTTCTCCTCTCTCTCGCCCACTCTCTCTCTCTCTCTCTCTCTCTCTCTCTCTCTCTCTCTCTCTCTCTCTCTCTCTCTCTCTCTCTCTCTCTCTCTCTC